AGGTTGTGTCATCTGCATAATGTAGGTTGTTGATGAAGCCTTCTTTTTTCTAAGAAACAGGGGTTTGCATCCAATTCACAATAAGGGATTCATATAGAATGAACTTTTAATAGAATGGCTGAAAATAAGCAAGGGCAAAAGTAGTAAAGTTACTTGAGTAATAACCAGGAAGATATGGTGGTAGCCTTAAATTGACTTTACCTGTAACAGAACAAAATTTTTCATGGTCCTGAACTATCTTCCAGATCTTTGATATATTTGCGTCCATTGTTGCAGGTACAATGCAATGCCTTTAAACATAGAATCTCATCTTCCAATAATATATTGGACAATCTACTGTTGTGATTCATAGAATTTTCATTGGCTGATTTAACAAAATAGATTTCCAGCCCTTTCTTCCTAGTATTAGCCTGGAGGTTCAACTGAATCCTGTCTATCATGGTTAAACTCGTTGATATTTGAAATGTCACTGGTGTAATTTTCAGACACATAGCTACACACAAGCTAGCATGGTATGACAAATTAATAGATAAGTGTTGGTAATCTACTTACTGCATATTATTTTTCCTTTTCATTCTTGTGTAAGTATACACTTAATTGTTGTTCATCCATTGTCTCTCTCCCTCACTAGTATAAATTATCTTATGGTTGAGAACATTGCTTTGCTAAAATGTTTCCCAAGAATTTTCAAACAACTGCCACATAGACACTCAGAAAATATTTCTTAAATGAATGAGTAAACTGAAATAGAATTAAAGGCAAGCCCCGTAAGTGCAACCTGACATTTCAGCACAGGCATATTTTGGATATATTGCAGGTTCAAGTCTAGATCACTGCAATAAAGTAGATATTGCAATAAAATGAGTCATATGAATATTTTTGTTTCTCAATACACCAGTAGCCAGGAAATTAAAAGGCACATTGCCATGGGAAAGTCTGCTGTTAGGGACCTCTCCAAAGTCCTGAAGAGCAATGGTGTCTCTTTGGAGACTAAGGTGCGTCTGATACAGGCCATGGTCTTCACAATCACTTATTATGCATCAGAGAGTTGGATAATGGCCAAGGAGATAGAAGGAGAATTGATGCCTTTGAGCTGTGGTGCTGGAGAAGAGTATTAAGAATATCACGGACTGCTAGGAAAACAGATTAATCCTGGAAAGGGTTAAACCGGGTGGCTCCTTGGAGGCAAGGATTCTGAGGCTCTGTCTAACATACTTTGGACATGTTGTGAGGAGAGACCAGTCCTTGGAGAGGGACATCATGCTTGGAAGGGTGGAGGGACGGCGCAGGAGGCGAAGGCCCTCTATGAGGTGGATTGATTCAGTGACTGGGATAATCGGGATGGGGGTGTCAGAGAGTGCGATTGGCACAGGACAGAGCAGAGTTTAGGGTTGCTGTACATAGTGTCGCTATGAGTCGCAAGCGACTTGACGACACATACCAACAACAACAACCATACATTTAGAAGTTACGAAGTTATGTCTATACTATACTGTGGTTTATTATGACTAGACTACCCTGTGGTTTAGTCAATGTGAAATATTGTAAGGATTTATAAAACACAGAAACAAAGTAAGCATATGTTGAGAAATCGTGGTGATAGACTTGCTGGAAATAGGGTTGTCTGATGTACAAATCTTTAATTTGAGAAAAACCTAGTATCTTCAAAAAGTAATAATCAAAGCACAGCAAAGCGAAGTGTACCTGTACTGATACTTTTAAATGTGTGATTGTATTGTGCAGGCTTACGATGCAAAGAGACAATTCTTCCAAATTTATTATAATAGCAAATCACACACTTTATTTGGGGCCATGAGGCCAAAAGCCAGTTATAATTTCACATAAAACCAATTCAAAAAGGTAAGATATTACAAATAACTCAAGTTTTAACAATCAATTAAGAATTAATATCCAACAATTATTTCTAACAATTATTCATAGTATTCAAACAAGCAGAAAGTTCATCACAGTATACCATACGTCATGAAATCGAGCAGAGGGCTATTGAGAGAGGACAGATGCTGGACAGTGAGGTGGCCTAGTCTCTTCTGATGTCTCTAGATTGCAGTTCTGAGTTAGGTTTTTATGCCTTTATTCCATTCAGGGAGTGGTCCTGGTCCAGGGCTCCCAGAGTCAGAGTTTCACCAGTCAGAATCAAGGTATTTCTTCTTTAGATAAACACAAGCTGTCCTGCAGGGTCTTTCTAAAAAATGCAGTCAATCAGAATTTGGAGTGTTTCTTCTTCAGATAAAAACATTGGGTCTCTGGGTTTAACATAGTACTTCAGATTAACATAAGCAGGCAGTACCATTTGATGCTAGTTCTCTCTTTAGTCTAATCTATCCAACACACTTACTAACTTCTGACAGTCTCAGCTCTACAAGCTCCATTCTATATTTCTAATAATACACTCTTAACATTGAATCACACTTGCTTACCAATTGTAACTTTCTAAACCTTGGCGTTACAAGCTTTCTATTTTTCAATACACTCTTGACACTAACACACACTTGCTTATAAATGTCTAACATTCTAAACTTAAGCTTTGTTCTATATTCTTAATAATATGCCATCATGCCACCATATTCTTATCTCACTTCACACAACTACCCTTCTAGCTATACTTACACAGCAAACACAGCCCTTTCTAGTAAAAAAAATGACACAGAAAATATATTCCTCTCTTAATGTAATTTTGGCTAACTTACAGACTTTTGCTCTCAACAGTGATTTCTTACTATGATTTTTAAATATAATTTTCAGTGGAGATAAATTTAATCAGAATGACAAGGGGAACAAATAATCAAAATTTGTTTGTTTGGCTGCATTTTTCCTCCTTGTTCAAGACTTAGTCTGGATCAAGTGAGACATTGCCTAGGACCTGTGATAAATTTGTTATGACAACAGTGAAAAAAAAAAAAGATAATTCATTAAGTCCAAAAATTCTGCTTTCCCTACCTCTTCAGGAGCCCATCAAATCACATCTCCTAAAAAAGAAACTCAGAATGTCACTTGACAATATATTCTCACTACTTTTTCCTTCTCATATCTAACCAATCAGTGGCCATTATGTTGGATCTAATCCAGACTATGTGCCCCTTTGGAATTCCAATGACTGATATTTTTTGGAAGTAAACTGCCAACCCTTTATTCTGAGTAATCTCTGAGTGGACTAAAACATCCAATATTTCTTTTAATTTTTAGCAACACTGTAAAGACTTGCTTCTCATACTTATCACTGCCGTTGATCACCAGAATTAACTTATCTTATTTCATGTCTCTCCTTTGAGTCCCTTGAAATGCATTCTCATGTTAAAGAAGCACAGTAACAGACCCAATACGGACAGAGAGTGGAGTGGAACTCCCCGATTAAAACAAGCTTGGAAGGAGTGGCATCCACTTCCGTAATAGCTTGCCTCCGGAAACCCTATGAACCTGGAGAGAGGATGAAAGGCACCCAAGTGTTGAGGACTCTCCTTCATAGGGTCACTATGAGTCACCTGTGACTCGACGGTACTTAACAACAACAACAAACATAGACATTTATATGGCAATATTTATAGATAAGGCTAGGGAGACTTTGTGAGTTAAATAATGTCCAAAGATGAGATAGCTAATAGGTATTGTAGAACTCTTTTCCAAAATTGTGATTTGAGTGAGAGTTAACAAAGCAAATTTGTTTTACATTCAACCATTTACACAATTTAGTTTATAACATTGATTACAATACTCACAGTGTGATAATAGCACGCTTCTTCCAGCCTCTCTCTGATTCTCCCTTTTAGGAATTCTCCCATCCTGCCCCTTTCTGTCTTCTGGGTTTTCGCCCTGGGCAAGTGGCACTCTCTTACGCGATTGGTTATTCTGAAGAGTTTGTGCCTCTCTGCTGATATTGTTCCCTTAGGATTCTCTCCAGTGTTTGGCTGAAATTTGAGTCACGGGTGAGTTTTGTTCCAGATTTGAGGTGTACCTAAAGATTCCACCAGTTTCTATTAGACCATTAAGCTTGGCCTTTTTATGTTCTTGAGTTTTGCTCCACATTTACCTCACTCTGTCCAGGATCTTCCACTGTGGTGTCCAAGATGTAGAAAGTAGACATGTCACACAATCTCGTAGACTCCAAACAGCACATTTGATGCTGTCAGGTGCTTATACAGGTCATGACCCTCACCACAGTGCTAAATCATCTCTTGTTTCCTCTCTTCATACTCATCCCATTAATTTTTCTCTCTGCTCTTTATATTTTTACTCCTTTCTGTTTATAGATGTTACTTTATTTTTACCACTATTCTCTTTGTGATCTGTTTGTTACTTTCAAATATTTCAGTTTATGTGCAAAATATGTGAGTTTGGGAAGAGGAATGGGTTCTGATATAAAAGAAATAGAATCACCTGAATAACGTGTGACTCTTCACTCATCAAGAATCATTTTCCTGTGTCTTTATGTGATTCTGTAGTCTTTCTAACTCATTGTGCTCTTCACTGTATTTCACACTGGTGAAAATAAAGTGATGGGTCTGTAAATGTGTAAGGAAATTACCAATCAAGATACACTAAACATTAGTCATAGTGAAGCTCTCAAAATACATATTAAAAGTGGGGAAAAAAACCCTTTCTCTGAGTGCTTATCAAGAACTGGAAGTTATCCGACATACATTGATTCCATTATCATGGTATTTAAAAAAGCTACTAGGCATGAAGTAAAGAAACAATTTCTTCCTCCTCCCAGGATAGACTTGCAGTTTTTCTTGACTTACTATTACAAGAAAAAAATCTGATAATTAGGACTTGATTAGTCATTTTATCATGTAAGAATAATCAGAGGTGATCATTTCTTCAACATGAATAAATTTATTTAGCTGTGGTCTGTCTACAACATAGCTAATTAGTAAGCATGAACTGAAAATGGGACCAGATGAACACACTATTGTTTAGGGTGTTATTTTTCTTTCATTGTGTGTTTCCTCCATTGTATTCTTTTTCCTTCATGAGTTGGAAATTCAATTTTCAGAGAGTTTATCCTGTTGAGAAATCAACCTCTTTTTTTCAACTGCCATTTTAAGCAGATTTTTCGCATCATTGGTCACTGTATCCAGGATATGCAACTGCATATAGTAGATTTTTCTAAAGTAAAGACCTGTAGCCAGAAGACCTCCACTAGTTGAGCAGATCTTCTCTAAATACTTGAAAACCATGTCCCCTAGTGAGTCATCTTTTTTTTCTTCCAACAAATTTGGAGATTTAACTTGTTTCTTGACATTTTCCATAGGCATGTGCAAAATTTGAGCCAAATTCTGCAGTGATGCATCATCTACCCCTAAGAGGGCCCGATACTTCTCTATTCTGGCCTTCAGATTCTTGACGTCATTATCACTGAAACTGCTCCCCATTGGCAAAGTAGCCAACAATCCAGCCTTCAGGGCTTTCAGCCAGATCTTCTGCCTCAATGAATTCTTTTTTCTTTCAATGTCCTCATCAGTAACACAGGGTAGGGAGAGTAAAAGAATATAACGCTTTTGGGCAGTGAGATTCTTTAATAGGGTCTCTGTCAGCAATGGGAAATCATAATCAGCTAAATCATTATTGGATACCAAGAAGATTTGGGGTTCATCCATCTTACTATTCCTGAAACAGTGTAGACAGTTGTCCCGAATCTGCTGCAGAACTTTTTCTTTGTCAAAGCTCTTTGGATTACATTTGTGTTCATTCTGTAAATTGATGTCCACCTTGGATCTAACAAAGTAGACGTTCTTGTTCATTTGTTTAATTTCCTTGGCCAGTTGTGCATAGTTTTCTTTGAAATGTGTGGCAGACAAGATAATTAAGAAATCATATTGACCAAATTTAACTTTCTCTAAATACTCTTTTGGCTGAAAATGAGTGGTTTCAATGTCAGGCAAGTCCCAATATACCACATTGGGAAATTTGGGGTGTTTGTATGCTATTGGCTCCATGGTTGTCTGTTTCATCCCAGTGGCAGTTACTTGTGTTTCTTCACGCTTAACATTTCTCAGTGCACTGATGAAGCTGGACTTTCCCGAGCCAGACTCCCCAACCACAGCAATGTTAACAGTGGCACTATTAATTTTTCCTATTACATCAGTGATGATAGTTCTTATGGTGTCAACATTGCCTGTTAACAATTTTGACTTGATCAATTCAATGGTTTCCTCCATGAGTATACTATTCTTGAAGTCCTGAAAATATGCATCCATTCCAGAGACCAGATTTTTATATGACTCCTCATAAAAATTAACAGAGAAAATCTCACCCATGATGAATAAAAGACCTAAAGAATAAAGGAGAAGTGTTTTTAAAATTATGGTAATTGAAGCCTTTGGGATTTGCTCTTACCTAGATAAGTATCCTCTGCGCTGTTCCCCTTGATTATGACTTAACACAGATTAATTTTTTATGGTTCTGTTTTATCTTATTTAAGCTCTGATGGACATTTAAAATTTTGTACTGCAATTAGGAAGAATGTATAATAAATTTCATGTGTCCATCAGCCATCTTCAGTAATTTCCAACTCATGACCAACTCTTACTCATTTAAGCCTTATTGCACTCTTGCAGAGCATCTAATGGACATGAACCTCTGAGCTTTTGTTTTACAATGCAACACATAACACATCATGCCACCAGAGCTTCTATGTGTTTATTCATTCTCTCAATAACCTTGAGTCGGAACCGACTCATAACTGTCCCTCTGTCATTTTGCTCTTTAACACCTAAAAGACCTATTCTGTCTTATTCTGTGACATTGTAATAAAATGAAGAGTAAGTTAATTCAGTGGTTGAATAATAATGCCATAAAGTTCTTTCCATCTCTTGCTTACTCTGTCTTCAGTATATTCCTTAGCCTTTTGACCAGTTCTTTTCAAGCAGTTATAAGCAGTTCTATCCTTCTAAGGTGGAAGGAAGAGAACTTGTTTTACAGTTAGTTTTTCTTTCCCCTTCCCATAGATACAGCATACTTTTCAGTGAGTAATACTGGGTAGATATACCTAACCCCACGTCATTTACTAGTAAGGAAATGAATGAGTAGAGTGGCTTAGATTGCCAAAAATAATACTCTAGTACTGCTCTAGAAAGTCTATAAACTCTATAAATGTACAGAAATTATTTTAGTTATAGAACAGAGTTCAGATCTTTTGTGCAAAAGTCACTATGAGTTGTATTCAACTTGATGACACTTAACCACTGTTAAATGAGACTAATGTTGCTATATCTGGAGGAACATTCTTCTGCTTTGTACATCCATCTTTATCAACGTGCTGTATGAAGTAACCTGGGTTTGCTGTGATGCTGAATCTTGTGCCATTAGGGTATCAAATACCATAATGGTTTCCCAATATGGACAGTGTTTGGTGGAGCTCTCAGTTGTAACACAACTGAGTTGTAAAACTGAGTGGCATCCACTTCCTAAACCACATGCCCCTGGAAACTCTTTGAACTTGGAGAAATAATTATAGTTATGGAAAGGCATTAGGTCTTTTGTTCATAGAATCGTTATGAGTCATGCCCGACTCAACAGCAATCAACAACAACAACAAGTGATGCTTGGACTTATGTACCCCTAACTAACGATGCACCTCACATATGTGATATCCACCCATCCTGCTAAATTCCTGCCTTTTATATATTCCACTTTTGGCCCCCCAGGTTGTCTTTGAGCCAATCATGTTTCTATAGATTTTAGTTCTTGCTCCAACTATACAAAACATTTCCTTCCTGTCTGATGGAGTTACCACCTTCTCTCTGTGAGTTTCGATGCCCTCCTGGCCTGGGTGTATTTTCCCCTCAATAAATCTCTTTTGCCTTTACTTCAAGCAATCTGCTTGATGTTGCTCATTGGTAGCAGGTAAAGATAGTTAACATTACTCACTCTCACTGCAGACAGCACGATTCCTGGTTCTTAAAGTTAAGGCTTCCTCCCAGAGGTCTACAGTTGTTGGGGTGCTTGTTAAAACAAAACAAACAAGGGAGCTCTGATGGCCTAATGGCAAGAAAGTATTCTGCAATCCTGAAGGCTTGTGGTTTCAATCCACCGAATGTTTCACTGGAGAAGGAGGGGCAATCTCCTCCTGTGCCAGTCAGATCCAATTCAAGGTACACAAGAAGAAAAAAGAACAAAAAAAAGACAAAACTAAATAAACATTATGTACACAGAGGACAAACGCTCTCAGATGTGAGGAAACAAAGTCATTAAAGTTTAGCCATTGAGACCCACAATTTCATCACTTTTGAGCTCTTTTTTAAAAAAATTCCTTTTTTTTGTTTTGTTTTGTGATTTTAGTGAAAGTTTACAGAAAAGTTGAATTTTCATTCATTCATTGTTACACATTTCCTGCTCTACTCCTCCTTTTACTCTCCCCCAGTTCACTTTAATTTTTTTTTAAATGTTCCTTCATTATTGTAGTTTCCTCCCTGCTCTAGAAGCTGACATCTGCTGGTCAAAGCACAACTGAGGAAAAACAAAACAAAGTAACACCAAACACCTTGTTGTCATAGTGACCTTATAGGACAGAGCAGAACTACCTCACAGGGCTTCCAAAGTTATAAACTTTATGGAAGCAGACTGTCATATCTTTCTCCTGCACTACAGGGAGAGGTATCTTTGGGAGAAAGTGGGGAAGAAGAAGGCAAAAGATAATGATAGGATTTGGAGACATCTTTTAGTTCTCATAACTGTGAGATAGGGGTGTAAAAGTTTGTCCTAGAGAGTGGCCAGGGATGCTTTCAAACATCCCACAATGCAGGAGACAATTCCTTCTTCTTCACTCTGCCCCACAAAATTGATGAATTATTCAGACAAGAATGTCAATAGCACCAAAGTGGAGACACCCTGCTCTAGTGCTGACTGAACAAGGTAGCATGCCTTCTTCAGGGGTTTCCCAGCACAGCATGGTCCAGGAGTCCAGGGTTGGGACGTATAGGTAGGACACAGCATAAATTTTGAAAGAAATTGTTTTCATAAATACATTCAATCTGTTTGGGGGTATTCCAAATGTTGGTGGTGGAAATACTCTAATGAAAAGAATATAAAACACCTAAAAAAGATGAAGAGATTTGTTCAACGTGTTGTAATGGAGGTCGGGAATTGGGATTTAGGTAAACATTGGGAATTTTGCTGACATTTGTGTGGTGCAGTGAATTACTTAATAAGGCCTTTCTAGCCATAGTCTTTGTAATTTCCACTAAATTACTTGATGGGATTATGTAAACAAAGTGCTTATGTCCCGTCCCACCCCCCCGCCCCCAAGGTGACTGGATAGCTTCTAACGAAACAAATGTGGTGCATGCCACTCTTGTGGGGGTGAGATCATGCAAATTGGGTATATGGAGCCCTAAAACGGAGATTGTTTAAAAAGAATCACTATAAGATTTGAAGTAATTATAGTCTCCATTGAGTGCGAGAACAAAAAGAGGGAGAAAAGTTGTGATAGACCAATCATTAGAAAAGAAATTGAAAGATCTTCATTTTCTTCTCAAATGCAAGCAGATAATCCAGACAGCCCCCCGCCCCCCCCAAAAAAACCCCAAACCAAACCAAAACAAAACAAAACACCCAACACCAAACTCCACTGCTGTGGAGTAGATTGCAGCTCAGCTAACATCTCACCTGAGGAGCAGCTAGTGCATTTGAATGAAGACCTTTCGACCTCTCCACACCACCAGAATTCCTTAATATTCCTACATTATTATGAAACAGATTTAAAAAACCCCACCAAACAACTCCCAAACAACAAAACACCCCTCCCAGGTGTTAGATGCCTCCTAGGTAGTTGGTAACAGAAATGTGGTGCAAAGTAGAGATTCTTCACTTTCAGTCCAGTGACCTCAGAATAGAGGCAATAAAACGTGTTTGATGAGGAAGAGTATGGAAAGATGACTTGAAAATAATGTAGGTTAAGACATGACAAATTCTATTTCCTATATTTATAAACCATAACACATTTGGTGATACATACATTTTAAATATTCTATGAGGAAGCGCTGGAAGGCTGGTGTTTTAGATGCACCTAGTGCTTCCACAGTAGAAAGACTTGGCAATCTTCCATCAACATTATGATAAAAAAAATCCTATGGGGCAGTCGTACTCATCAAATCAGTGTCACTCAACTCTTAGAGAAGCAATAGAGGACAATAAAACTATTTAATAAATTCTCCATACGAATAACACCCACATTTCCTTTAGATCTTCCTTAACCTGAACAACCAACTACAGTCATCAAAGAGCCAGTCTCGCCATCAATCAAGTCTTAGCAGCTGCCAAACTTAGCATCCTAGTTCTCCAGCCCATGCTCCTCAATAGTTTGTTACTCATTGCTTACTTGGAGGAAAAGGAGATATTTGAAGTTAGAAATCAGCTGCAGATTGTCCAGTTGAATTACCAGAAAATCCTGAGCCTAATAGTGTCACTGAAGCTCAATATGTAAGACTCTTCCTCTGGTGTGGTCCAGTCTTTGAATCTAACACCCACATCCCTGAGGTCTTATAAAGCAGCAGTGATAAGACAACTGAACAACACCTGATTACTACACCCACCCCCCAGTGTGAGGCTGACCAATCATGGAATGAGGGGCTGTTCCGGTCTCAGAATTTACTGTACTTCTAGGAACAGAAAAGTGAAAGTCAACTAGTTTATCTCTTCTAACAGCTTAGTTAATTCTAAGAGGGTAAATATAAGCCCTGAGATAACCAACATATCAGCTATCTTAATGATGCCAGAAGAAACTGAAATAAAAGGGGAAATGCTGAAGTAAGAGAGCTGAACAGAGGATTTCAAGGGGCAGCTTGAGAAGACCAAGCAAACACGTACAAGTGCTGGAGTTAGAAAACCAAAAAGGAAGAAGAAGGTCACCATTTCTCAAGCTGAAATAATGGAAAAACAAATTCAAGCCTTGTGTTGTAATTCTGAAGTTTTTTATGTGGAAAAATCTTGAATTATATAGGAAGAAACAACAAAACAAGATGGGAAGAATGCATAGAGTCACTGTACCAAAAAGAATTAGTCGACATTGAACCATTTCAGGAAGTAGCATATGATCAAGTATCAATAATACTGAAGGAAGAATTTCAAGGTGCACTGAAGGCATTGGAAAAAATAAGGCCCCAGGAATTAATTGACAGAATATCAGGTGACATGATTAAAAAAATAGATGTATTCTTGGACATGCTCACTCCCTGATGTTAAGAATTTTAGAAGACAGCAACCTAGCCAACTGACTGTAAGAGATAATCCAATAGAGTATGGAGATTTACCAGAAATA